TGGTACATCTGCCTCATATTTCAAACACGTCTCCCTGCAATGTCAAAGTCTTGCCAAATGGACTGTTAGCTGCATAAGTCTGCTGTAGACCATGGAGGAGATGGCGCAAGATTCCAGGTGTTGGAAAGCCAGCTGTTCTCCCTGCAAAACCCCACGTGACAGGTAGTGCTGATGGTGGGAAAAGGAGCCTTCATCTGTGTTCCTGAGTAGGAATGGAGCCCCTCCAGTGTGGTGGGAATAATACAGTATACATCCTTTTGCAGTTGTATACTTATATAGAATGTTCTTGTAGGGCCACTGACTTCAAGATGTCTTTTTGGTAGCTTAGCACCTCTGAGGTTCCTTGGTCATGGAAATTATACAATGAGCACCAGTGCTCACTAAAAATACTACTATCCAGTGAAGTAAGGGATTAAGAGAAGAAAAATGCATTTGTGAAGAAATAAAGCAAAGAACAGAAGGAATGAAAGAACATGGGGCTGTGCACGGGAAGGGAAGGGATATGCCAGCACGTTTCTGACCTTACCAATTTTTTTTCTCTTTTCTGAGTAGCTGAGGACAGAAATGTTCTCCAGATGCAAGGAATGACTGAGTTGTTCCTTGTTTTCTCAGCATTTCTCTCTCCTGGGCTGTAATATCATTAGAAAGGGGATAGATTCTTAGGTTATCAGTCTGAGTCCCCAAATTTTAAGGGTTTTTTCTGGTAGTAATAAGTCTCAAGTTTGATTTATTTAGACTAGGTTTTCCATAGCTCATTCTGCAGAGAGGTTGCAGCCCTCATACTCTGAAGAAATACAGTTCATGTGAGGCCATAGGATTACACCAATCTGAGAAAACTCATGGAGAGGAGGAGATCTGTGTCGCTAGAGCTTGCAGTTAAATACTGGACTCTGCAAGTGTCCAGCATGTGTGTGCATGTGTGCTGAGTTTGCTCTGCTTTCCCCGATTCTGTACAGGTGTGTCAATACTGGCTGCTCATGACCTTGGAAAGTCAAGCCTTCAAGCGGTGACAGACAGTACTGAAAAAGAAAAAGAGGAAGGAAATAATGATTTGACAGTCTGACAGCAACACATCCCCTTCGGGTTTGTGTGGGGCTGAGATGATCTCTGCATGCTGGTGGTTAGAAATGTTTGTGTTTGGATGTGCATGTAGCTATATGAAATGTGCATGTGTGTGATATCTACAACAAGTATTATACATACTATACATGTTTAAGGAAATAGATGATTTTAAGAAGACAACATTTGGCAGTGGTTCAAAAAAAAAGGTGGTGGTGAAATACTTCTGATCTGGATGCAGCGACTTACAGCTGTATCTGCCTGCTCACCAGCTCCTTGTAAGTGCTATTGTAAAGTGTTACTGCAGTTTCATTGAGCCTGCATGAAGCAGGAGGCTCTTCCATGCTCTCTGAGCACGAAAACAGAGCTTTGAAGCCTCTGGTTTGAGGAACATACTTCAAGTTAATTTTCTGTGTAAGGCATCAGCTGCTGAGAATCTAAATTTTGCAGATAAACCATACTAAAGAGGAGGAGAAAACAGAAGATGGCTGAACTGGTCAAGTGCCCTTCAGTTCTACTTTGCTACCCTTGTTCATTTTTTCTTGAACAAAGCCAGAAAAAGATACAAATGGATATGTGAAGTTCGACATCTTGTACAAAAATGCAGTGTCTCAGATTCTCCAACTGAGGAGCAGAAAATTTGTATTAGCAATCCTTTCCACTTTAGCTGTTTCTATATTGCTACCAGAAAGTTTAAGTCTCTAAATCTGGCATTGGCACCATAAGTGCACTGATGCAGAGCTCAGCAAAACCTCCCTGGAAGGCAACCTGGGCAGCCAGCCTGCATCGAGCTGCCGTGGTCGTGGCCAGTTTGCTGGTGGTACCCCAACCAGCTGGGTTAAAGTTTGCTCTGGTGACTCAGTGAGAGCTATGGTCTTCACTCACAAGTCCATCTATTCGCACCCAGGGAGGGCTCTCACCAGGTGACTTTTCCCAAAGAAACACTGCCAACTGCCTTACACAGGAAATTTTAAAACCTTGAATATTTAATAAGAAGGGATGATTTCCAAAGTCTTCATGCTGAAGCTGGCAGATCTCCTCAGTAATGGGTCGTTGGATCCATTTTGTATTTTATAGTCTCATCACATAAAGCCATTTCGTCTTTTTGATGTGTGCTCCAGGTTTGTCTGCAAACATAAATGTGCCTGAATACTCCTACCTGGAGAGTCCCCCCTTTGTAGGCATTAAAGGTCAGTTGTGAATGTTCTGCAGGAGCATGGCTGTGTTAAGGGCCACTCCAGCATGAACAGCTTGGTCTGTGTTTATAAAGTGATAACTGGAGCTTTAGTGGAAGAAAATAACTTGTTCCTGGGTATCTTCTGATGAAAGCAGCTGCTCAAAATCAACTCATTTGTTTCACATTTCACTAGAATTTTTCTTTCCTAGTCCTTGGCCCTTATCAGTTATTTTGGATAAATGACATTCCATACCTCTTCCAACTTACCTATCACCTTAAAAGATGAATCTAGCTTTTGTTTTACTTTATATTCAATGGGATTTTTTTTTTTTTTTCTTCTTTGGCTGGGTATTTTGTGATTTATAAAAACATATAGCCCTGGAGCAGACCAGCATCTCTTAGAGACTCATCTCTCTAAATTTTCGCAAACCCACTTCAGATACCAGTAAACCGCAATCCTTTCTTCCATGGGTATTTGCAAACATTAATGAACTAAGTATCACAGTCAATCCCATATGTTTGAGACATCTTATCCCTTATGTGGCTAGGCATCTGAGCTACCAATGAATTTAAGTAAAACAGTTGGATGTGTAACCTTGGTTTGCTATCACTGCCATGTGTCTTGTCTGCAGAAGAACTCCATCTCTCTTAACCTCTTTTCAGATGGAAAAAGATATTTTGTCCAGCAGCCAAAGGGAAATGCAAGCATCCTGGTGGAAAACAAGCTGTTTCAAAACCCTGGCTGCAAGCTACCCACACATCACAGTTGTCATCCAGGCTGCACACGCATAGTTACAGGGAATAAAATAGAAAGGACCTTCTGTTCCTATTCCAAAAGGTCTCTACCCATTCACCTATACCAAAAGATCGTCGTCAGCTGCCAGTATTAATTTGTTCTCCTGTGTGGGTTTCCAGCCAAAGGAGGGTAATATAAGTTGAATTCTATCCAGCAGGAGCACTTGCAATGCAAATGCTAGCCCATATATTACAAAGCATTAATGCGACCCACTTCTAAATTACTCGGGGTAATTTCTGATTTTATTTATTCCTCCTTTTCTTTAATTAACTTCTGTGAAGAGAAGCTGAAATATCAGTATGGGAAAAATCAAATATGAGAAACAGAGCCCATTTTTATTTTGAGACTCTGCTTCCCTTGTAATAGCAGTTTATTTAAAGAGGAGCCTGGAATAATCCAGTTTAAGCAAAGCAAAGAGCTCTACTGAAGCCAAACTGTGTGTGGGTGTGCTCTTGTCAGGGCTCCCAGAAGAGGAGGGCAGGAAAGTCTGTTAGTCAGACCTCAGATATTGCAGGAGATGTTGGTTATTCAGTAGCTGGCATTTTTCCTTGGCACACCGGTACAGAGTCACTGCTCTGGTGTACTGGGAGAGGGTGCACCCCATTGGGAAAATCCTCAGATAACCTGAGTTCCTGCTCTTTTGTTGTTGTAAAAGAAAACCCTGAGGATACGTGGCTGGAAGAGGTGCCCACCTAGGTCCTAGCGGGTGGGTTAGGAATGAGTCTCTGCTCCTCTGCCTCTTCTTGTCATTCCACCTTGTGCCGTGTTTGCGGCCGGTGCCGGGCTGGGGGCTGGCGGGCATGTTTTGTGCCACCTGCGGGGGATTGGGTTGTACAGGGTGGTCCCACCTCATGTCGTTTGGACCCAGGCTGGAAGCAACAACAGTCTTCAGGCATAGCTCCCACAGAGGAACCGTCAATATGCGTCACAGTGTGTTACAGCATTTGCAGAGAACTACCCACATGCTCAATTTTCTCACAGCGAATTGTCTCTTGATGCCATGGGCTCCTCAGAGTTCAGAAAGTCAGGCATAAGTATAAATCTTTGACTTATCTCAGCTTACTTTTATAATCTGTTTAAATAATGTTTTTTTCTCAGTATATTGCTCTTTAAAATTTCTATGGCAACAGCATAGCTAAGGATATGTTAAATAAAAGTAATTTAGGCATTAAAGGGAGGTGATTCTTAGAAAAAGAATCAGTTAAATTGATGATTAGCTCTTGAAACAGCAGGTGAGACTAGCAAAGAGGATAAGGTGCAGTTCTGTTTCCACTGGTGGATTTGAATGTGTAAGCATCATCTTTCTATGTTACATATCCGTGGATTTAATTTTTAATTATTTGGCTTGGAGATAATAAATGATTACATGTTATTTATAGAAATCTGCATATTCCCAAGTTCTGCATTATGAAATCTATATCTGTACTGGTTTGCAGTGAGCACCAGAACACTAATGATGAATTGTATTTGGGAATATTAATTAAATTTCATATGATGATAAATAAATTAGAACTGAACATAGCATTTGTTTTAAAATAAAAAAAAGTGTAGTTTGATATTTATTTCCTAAATGTATGGGAATTACTGTAGACAATAAAGAGGGCATGAAATCTGAGAGCCTGTATAGATATTGATTGGTATGTTCAGGGTGTATTTCAGATATTTACCCTCTGCTTCCCCTCTCCAAGGAGATCCTCCCCTGGTCAATTCTTTCCATTGATTTTGAGTCTGCCTACTCAGAAGCTGAAAATGGTGATGCTGGTGGGAAAAGTACAAGAACAGCAATCGATCGCAAATACATTTTATGATACTCTGCTTCCATATTTTAAAGGGGAAAATTTATTAATGGCAGCAGGTCTCTGATTTTCCCTTTTAAACGTATCAATCAAACCTATAGCGATTTGCAAACCCCTGGACGTTTCCATTTCCTCTGAAGTGACCCCTCTTTTGTTTGCTCTCTCCCTGCAGACAGTGAAATCATTCCTCCCGACTGCCTGCGGCCCCGCTCCTTCACCGCCATCCGCCGGCCCTCGCTGCGGCGGGAGACGGAGGACACGCGCCTCTCAGTCAGCCTGTGCGACCTCAACCTGCAGGAGGAGAACTTCCATGTGACGGCCACCACGTGCCCCATCCCGCAGAACTCCCTCAACTCCCAGCACTCCCACCTCCTCCCCTCCCAGCTGGAGAGCGACCTCCGCTTCCACCACCTCCGGGGACCCCATGTCAAAATCCTTGATGACCAAACCGTGGCCCGTCTGGAGCACGCCCGGGAGGAGAGGACTTTGGTTTTCACCAGCAGACCCCTTCGGATCAACGAAACCATTTTTGTCAAAATCAACAAGTCCAATGCTGTGCGCACGGGGACGCTGTCCTACGGGGTGACGTCCTGCGACCCCAGCACCTTGCGTCCCAGCGACCTTCCCTATAACCCCGAGTCCTTGGTTGACCGAAAGGAGTTCTGGGCCATCTGCCGAGTCGTGGTGCCCCTCCAGAGCGGAGACATCCTGGGATTTACGGTGAATTCAGATGGTGAGCTGCACTTGAGTCACAATGGTGCCGGCACTGGCATGCAGGTCTGCGTGGACTGTTCCCAGCCCCTCTGGATGTTCTTCGTTTTACACGGCGCAGTCATACAAATTCGATTGTTAGGTATGTCAGACCTCCTTTTTCCAACCCTTACACATGAGACAGCAAGGGGGGGGATACATCGTAGGGGAAGGGTGGAGGGAATGAATGACTCCCTCCTTGCTCTAGGATCAGGTGCAAATTTTGTTTTTTATAAAAGGAGAAAAAACAACCCACAAAGTCACATACGTGGCAGATGGATATGAGTTATAAGATTTACCTCTTTGCACTTCTCTAGCGTCCTTCACTTGATGGTCTCAAAGCTCTTTTCAGATAATGAATTAAGCCTCAGAGACCTCCATTAAGTACAGATGAGTCACCACTGACCTAGGAGAAGCAAGGAAGGGGGAGGAGAGGTGCTTTGAACTGAGCTAATGTAGGGCAGCAGGAAAAATGAGATCCGATTGCCTTCGCTGTGTGTAAGCTCTCTGGCGTGACTGATTCCCCAAAAGAGCAGTCCCCTTGCTTTCCCCAGGCTCGTATGTGAGAGGCAGGCTAGCGAGCAGAGAGGAAACCCTGTGCCTCGTGATCGCAGCGGGGCACGGACCAGCACAGCAGGAGAGGGGTTTCCTGGTCCTCCAGCCCTGCTCAAGGCGGTGTAGCTCATACAGAGTAATGGACCTCTGAAGAGCTGACCTCTTTCTCTTGATATTTTTGTTCTGGTTTTAAGCTCTGTTAATGGAAATACTTCATTTAAATGCTGAAAGTCATGCTTTGAAGCTGTGGAGGGAAAAACATGGAAATAGCATTTTCTCAGGATCAAATTTACTTTTGTATGTGTGTGTACATTGGACACAAGTTTAGGATGTGTTTGGCCATGAATTTGGACCATATCGTGGTTATGCTGGTGTCAGTGTCAGAAAGTAAATGATGGATTCTGAGAACATGATGTAATTCCTGGTATTCCTCTAATTGGAGATGATTTTAAAATTCTCCTTTCATGTTTATACTGTTCTATTCATATAACTTTAAATTTACTTATATTCCTTTTCGCTTCAAATCCTCACTATTAAAATGCCCCTCTTTCTTACCCAACAGAAAAAAAATGCCAAATCCAAAAGCCAACCAACACCTCCTTTTTTTAGGATTTATAGACAGTCTTTGAAGATAAAACATGGTGAACACACACATCTGTCTGCAGGATCCAGTTCACCTTAATCACAGTATGAAATGCCCTATATAATTTGCTTAAAGTTGACCATAGGCCTATGCTGTAAGTGTTTTGTGGCTGTTAAAGGCTTACAGATGACAAATGTAATACTGCAATTTATTTCCAGGAGCCCAAGACTCAATCCCTGATAATTCAGCCTGATTACATTTGTTGTGTGTACTGTACATAATCCATGGCCAGCTCTGCTCTCCACCGACATGTCATTGTGATAATGGTAGGTGAAGTCAAACAGATCCCAGTAAAGTAAGAGATTAAATGCCCCTGTATATGTTAGAAGGAAAACATCCTCAGGTCATTGAGCTGCTGGTAAAACTAAGTCATTGTCCAGTGTTTCCTTTTATATGAGATCACTCATTCTGGCAGTTTTTGCACAAAGTGAATAGTCTGCAGTAGGTCCTGAAACAGGGCAGAGAGGATGTGTCTCACCAGAGGGACAGAATTCAACAGAACGTGGACTTGAACACAGGTCTTTTGCATCCTGGGCAAACAAATAAGCAAATAATTTCCTAGAACCCATGTATGTCCTCTCTACCTGCTCACAAGTTCAGCCCTAACCAGTATACTCTCAGGGCATGTTTTATATAAATCTGTGTTTGGATCCATACAATGAAATCTGCTGAGTTTGGAAACTCCTCGCTACCTGTATTTGTGACCACATAACAGACTTTTCTGGCCTCGGTCACTGGAGGAGAAGCTAAAAATGGGCTTTTGTTCTTCAGTGAGATGTAAGTGAAAAGAACTGGACTTGCTGACCTTGCCTCTCTCAAGGAAAGGGTAGGACCCTGCTGAGCGTACAGCTTTATCCACATCAGCTTGGGCAGCAAGCTGCTATCTCCCTGCTAAAAGCTATGAAATTGGAGCTCGCCTATAGTCTTTAACAGGTATTAAAATACAAATAGAGCTTTTCAGACCTGTGTTTCCAGTATAACAATGCTGGGTGCGGTACAGTCCCAGTATCAGTACAGTGCAGCTGCCCAGAGAAGAGTGCTGAGCTATCCCAACACTGCACATCTCTGCAACTGCAGTAATTATATGGATCAGCAATATTCCAACAGAAGGCAAAGAAAAGAATGAACTCCTATCTCTAGCCTTTGCAACATTATTAGGGAGGTGATGTGCACTGTTTGCACTGCAGTGGAACAGATTATGGTGCTTGCCATAATATCTGTCATTATAATATTAGAAAATGTAAGAAGAATATGAAGTGTTCATCTTTCTAATGACAAGCTCTGTCTTCAAAATGCAAACAAGAGTAATTTTATGTGATCTATCTTTTGTAGTTTGAGCTTTATATCACAGGAGAAGACATGTTTATAGTCATTTTTTCTAGTTTTAATGGAAAAAGTGAAGTTCCATATCCTTGAAAGAAATGAGACACAAATACTGCAAGAGGCATAATTGTACCAAACCTATCTTAAACAGCAGATGTCATTCTATTTCTGGGGGTATATCATTATTAGATTAATCAAAGCAATGTTATGCAGTGTTAAGGGAACATCAGCACTACAACCAACTATAAAATGAAATGCAAGTTGCTGGTTTTGCTTCCTCTTCATGTTTTCTGTTTCGTTTGGAGGATGGAGAAGGTGGAGAGCAGCAATGCCACTCTTGCACCTAAAGAAGGTTTATTTTTGACTCAGAGAACAAGACAGCTCAGGGTATTGATCACTGGATACTACGATTAGTTATTTGGTCCTGACCGAGAGCGGGACCAAGCTCAGGTCTCTCCTGGCTTGTGGTTTTACCACAGAAGCTGACATTTGCTGACCGCAGTTACTCGACAGTGTTGGGGTTACAACATTTATTTCCTAATCTAAATGTCAGGGGAGACCATCTCTACCCCAGCTGATGGTCTTACAGAACTCTGTAAGAGTGGAGGGCAGGGTTTGATAGTAAAGAATTCTGACTTCTGTTTCCATCTTGTCAATCTGGCATCATATACTGGCAATATATTTGCTGTAGAAGAAATAAAAAGAAGTAGAAAATAAAGATGAGGTTGGAAACACTATTTTTCTTTATGTCACCCCAGCAAAAGGAAAATAAATGAAACTCATGTACCTCTGTAGCCTATAGAGACCACAGTCATCTGTAGTGGGAGGTAGAAGGATGTCAGTTTGTTGCAAAGAAAAGGTTAAAAGGCAACTTGACCACATGGAAGGAAGATAAATGAAGGAGGAGGGCACTTTAATGTAGCAGATAATAGCATAAAAAATATCAGGCTGCTGGAAAATGAAGGGACACAAATTTAAATTAAACATAAGTGAGGGTAATTAACTACAGGAACCAGCAATTGAGGGAGGCAATAGATCTTTTTGTCAGGGTTGGAAGCCTTTCTAAACATTTTGTATGTAAAGTGCTGGTCTTAATTCAGAAATTCTGTGGGTTATGCACATAGGACAACCAAACAGAAACCCAGAATATTAGGCATGTAGAAATGAAACAGTCTTTGCATATCCTTTAGGAATTCCATTAGTTCAGGCTTGGGTTGGGTTTTTTCAGGCATCATTCCTGTACAGTTGACAAAACCAACCTATTAAATTTGATTTACTGCTTTCAGCTTTTGCTGGTAAGCATTTCAGCTCACACACAGTTTTATTGACAGCTCTGAAAGGTTGAAATGAGTCAGTCTGGATACATTGGTCTGGTTTTGGTCTGGTTTTGGTGGTGTAATTCATTTATGAAGTAAAATTGATCGACTCCATAAGGTTTTAAAATGTATGACTCATGTCTGGAGGAGCTATCACAGCAATAAGTTTATATATTTAGTATTTGGGGATCCAAATGGTTGGGGATATTCTTTCATTTTCTTTTGTTTCAGAGTGAATCACCCGCATGTAAAACATCTTCCTTTGTCTCCTTAATTTTGTTTTGGGGTTGGTTTTTGTTTTTTTTTTTTTTTTTGTGTGGTTTCCCTTGTGAATTTCATCTGTTCCAGTTTTCTTTTGGGCAATGAAATAACATGTTCCATCAACAATCATACTAATGAAGCTGAGTTGCCAACTTATATGTGTCCTTTCTATCCATGCACTTCAATAACTCCAGCCCCACCAGAACAGCTGCACAATATTGCAGCTCTCTGGATGTCTCCTAATGCTGGCCAAGAGTCTGCATTAGATCTGAAGAAAACACCCCAAGAGCCACAGCATTTGGTGTGGGTAAGTCCATATTCACATCCATGCTGAATAAATGCAGAGGGTGTGTGGGCTAAGCTCTCCTGCCCTCTTTACCATGAGTATTGAGTTGCGGCTCCTACTTAGCTGCCCATTGCAAGATATTTATAAAGCAATTGTTGCTGAGGTTTCCACCCTTCTTTTAGACTTTCTTGAAATTGGTCAAAGGGCTCAAAACTGGGGAGGCGAGGAAGGAAGAGCTGGCCAGTTGCTTCCTAACTGGCCCAGGACTCCAGCATCCCACGGCAGAGCAACTGTCTCTTCCAAAACAGTTCTCCGCTCTGGGTGCAGTTATATACTTACTTTGCACTTAGAATTAACTGCAGCAAGCAGGCAAAACATCTAAATGATCGTTGGTGTGTACAGTTGTTACACACACTGCCTATGGTGCAGGCAGCAGGTACAGATTGTAGAAAAGTCCCTCACACAGGCAGGGAGAATCCGGGATTTTTGGTTCTCCAGATCCAAATTTATAAGCTTCTCCTGTCTGAGAGAAGCTGACTAGTTCTTTGCAGTAGTAAATCACACACCCTTATTTCTGATCTCAGAGGTGGCCAATAGGTTACCTGTTTGGGAACTTGAACCTTCTCCACCTCGCTTCGTTTCAGTGATGTGGAAATTGCCGAGTTAAATACAGCACAAGAGAAACCTGATAAATGCATATCATTGTTGCACAGAAATGC